AGCGATCGGCGATGCCATTAGGATGAAGTTTTATTTTGTATGTCTATTGGCAACCAAGAATTAGAGTGTTGGTTGGTGGTTCGGTTGGGAACCAAGTGCCCTATTTTTAGAAAACATACTAGGAACTCATATGATATGACATTTCTCCATTCAGATAGTTTAAAAACTTCAGTAAAGCTAGTGGGTGTTGTTGATGAGATAGTGGTGGCAAGCAAATCAAAAATTTTCTTGGGGAGTAGGTGTCTTGTATGGAGATGGGTTTGCATAGGGTGAGTAGAGGTTTGAACGGGATGAGGAGGGTCGGTGTTGGGTATGGTTAGTTGTGATGTTAAAGGGTTGGATTCGGATGTAACGAAGTGTTCTTGAGTATGGGGTTGGTGGTGGTTGGTATGTTTTGAGTTATGGGGTAGTGTTGGGATATACTAGATGGAGGTGATATGATAGATGTGGGGAGAAGTAAGAGTGGAGATTGTAAGGATGAGTTTGGAATGGTGGAGTTTGTTTATGGAGTTGAGATGAGGGGAAGGATTTCTCATGAAAGCTAACATGAGGGGATATGTGAATCTTTTGTGTTGTGAGTTAAAGCAACAAAAGCCTTTGTGTTGAGTAGAGTATCCTAGAAAGATAAAGGCTTGAGAGCGAGGGGATAATTTATTGCTAGCTTGCAGTTTTAAGCATGAAAAATAGAGGCATCCGAAGATTTTGAGATGGCAGCGGCTAGGGGTGGTCGTGAATGAGCTGAAAGGGTATTTGTAAATTGGTGGCTGAGGACGGTAAGCATTTGATTAGGTAATTAAAGTTTGCAGAGCTTTGACCCATAATGTTGGTGGTAGATTGGCGGCATGCAAGAGAGTTCTAGTAGTATCAAGTAGGTGTCTATGCTTCATTTGAGCTAAATTATTTTTCTTGGGGGTGTATGAATAGCTTAATTGGTGTGTAATGCATTGTTTGCAAGAAATTTTTTAAAGGTATTACTAGTGAATTCTCTTTTGCCATCTGACCAAAGTGTTTGAATATGTGTTTGAAATTTTGTTTTAATTAATTGGAAGAATTTTTGGAATTTTGGTATAGCCTCATTTTTTGCGTGCATTAGAAGCTTACAAGTTGGAAATGGTATTGGAAGAATACCTTGGTCGCTGTGTTGAATGGGAGGGGAGGAGCTATTGGCAATGGAGATTGAGTCGATTCCTTGATATTTAGTGGATTGCTATAGGTTATGGGCTTTAGAAGTTAGATGGGTAGATGTGCCAGTGTTGCTAGAGTTCAGGACTCATTCAGTGGTTAGTAGAGTTTGGGGATGTGATAGTAGAGCTCTTGGAGTCCAGGGAGGTGAGGGGGCATATTGGAGATTATATTTATGGAAATAAGAGAGGGAGGAATGGCCAATTATATCATATATTTGGAAATTTGGTCGTTGTGTGTTGAAACTAAGAGTGGATGAGGGTCAGGTAGTAGTATTTGTTAGCTTGAAGGGTGATCTGCGACCGCGGTTTGGTCTTGAAGGAAATGGTTTGCCTCTGATCGAGCTACTGCAAGAGAACTAGATGGCTTTGGTTGTCATGTAGAGTATGAGTATCCTTTTCTATTTCATTTTGTATACGTATTTCTTCATTGCATATGAGGGAATACAGAACTTCAAGGCTGGTGGGGTGAAGGGAAGTTCTGATGGCTGCTTTGAATGAGTTGCAAGAGAAGGGCAGCCCACTGAGTATATAATGAATGATATCCTTAATGTCAATATGTGAGCCGGCTATGGTAATGTTGTCAACAAGGGTCTTTATCTGGGCATGGTATTTTGCAATCATCTGATCCTGCATATGTACATGATGAAGTTCATTTTTTAGTTGAAGAACTCAGATGAGTTTGTAGGTTGAAGGCGGGTCTCCAAGGTCGCCCATATCTCATGGGTAGTTGTTAGGTTGAGGATATATGGCAGAACAAAGGGAGAAATGGTGAAAAATAAGGCTGAAACTATGTTAGATTGATTAAATACCATAGGTGATAATCGATGTTGGTGGAGTTGGGGGAGGTTCCAGTGGGCAAGTTTGTTGTCCGGTGAGATATCCCTCAAAATAATTAACCAAAAATAGTTTGAAGATTTGTAGAAGCCCAACGGTGTAGTTGTCGTTGGTGAGTTGAATCTTTACGATGAGTTTGAGGTTTGACATAATGAATTTTAGATGTGGAGGCACGGTGAAGTCGGCCATGGAAGTGGAAAAAGATAAGGTGGGTAGGGTTGGTGAAGATGAATTTTGAGATAATTTTTTTGAAAAAAAATGTTTTAAGACCCACATGATTTGCTATATTTATATTTTAATATTTCCCCATAGTGGAGCCCCGGCACCATTGCTCTCAATAAATTTAGAAAATAATTCAACTCATGCGCCAAGAATTGACATGTAGCATTGTCGCACTTTGAAGCTTGAGCGTCGCGATGATAGGCCATGAATTTCTAGTCGGGCCTTGCATAGATATACGGTGGTTAGAGTTATGGGGAATTAAAGATATAAAAGAATTATAGCTAGGTAGGATCGTAACTAAGCCTCCAACGATCTCGACAAAGACGAGGAGCATGAATCCTTTTTCTCCATTGTATCCTATTAAGTGTCAATTTTTCATATAATCTAGGGTTATTGCATATATTTAAGGCATAATATTTATTTTGAATTAGGATTGCTTATATTAGGGGTGTAAATTTGGGTCAAAGGGTCAGGTTCGGGTCCAACCTGAGTTGACCCAGGTGTAAACGGTTGACCCGAATCCGATCTGGTTAGTTAAAAGGGTCATGATTTTTAACCCAAACCCGACCGGCGTGGGTTATCGAGTTGACCCGACCCGACCCGCAAACCCAATTGGCTAAACGACATAGTCACTATGTCCGTGAATTACACGAGTAGGATCTGGGCGAACACAGGTGGTGGAGCGAATGCAGGAGGTGAGTCCGACGGCTTGACCCAACTAGGATGCTAGGGAGTGTACTCGCGTTCGTCGTGGGTGCGGTTCCTATGGTAGGCAGGAGGAGGCAGGGTTACGTGATCGACCTTCGACCGTGCAGGTCCTGTGGTAGGTTGTGCCGTTGAAGGAGTTGGAATCCAATCATTCACGCGATTTCATCACCCAGACGGAGTCATCGTTCACGGGGTCAAGTGGTTGACCATCGGATTTCATCACGATTCGCGCTGGTTAGTCGGGTTAGTCAGGTCAACTTCGGATTTCGAGTCAACCCGAACTCAACCCATTTTTCAAATGGATTAAAAATTCGAACCCGGACCCGAGGGTTAACCCAAACCCAAATTTTTTCGAGTCGGGTTTCGGGTCGTGTCAGCTTTTGACACCCCTAGCTTATGTATTACTATTTTGAAATTTAAGTTTTATGAAAGTTCAAATTTTGAATAATATATTTTTGGAATTTAGGTTAAAATGTGCTGGATTTGTTAAATTTGAATTTTACATATATAGGTTTGTCTTTAACCAAAAAATTTTAAGGAGGCCTACAAAGGCGTTTGTGAATACCTTGAAAATATTCTCCATTCAAGAATACCTTCATAATAATTAGGATCTAGACGCCTTAGCCTCATCTGAGTTATGGAGTAGGTATAAAGGTTGGTGAAAAACCATTAAATTTTCACAGGTGCGCAAACATTAATAAACGGCCATTAACACTACCAAATTAATATTTTTAATATTCAACAATTGCACGTGTACTAAGTGCATGTGAATAAATTTTAAAAAAATAATAATAATATGAAATGTGATGTTATATTTATTCAATTGTAAGAATAAATAAATTTATTGATATCACTTGAATGAACTTTTATTTATTAAATTATATATTTTTGGCTAATTTATAATTTAAAGTATAATATTTAATGATAAAATTGCAGCGAATTCCTTCATGATTACATGCAAGATGCATTACAGCATTAATGTTAAAATATAATTTTTTTTTAACATTAACGACATCAAATGCTAGTGAATCAAGATTTAGAGGACTTCAAACTCTATAAGTTCCAACCTAATCAAAATTTTCATAATAATTTAATCAACATGATTCATATCAATGCAAAAAATTTGTTTTCAACTACATGAAGATCCTCTATTTTATAAAAAAATACATAAATAAATCCTCTCTTACTAAAAAAAAAAAAAAATGGGAGAATTTGGGGCATCAGCCCATTTCATTAAAATATAAAAGAGTTATAGTAAGTAAGAACATTAACTGCTAACAAAAAAACATGAAGCAGAAGATAAAATCCTATCAGCCAGAGCTGCATAACAACAGAAAAACTGTAAGGAAAAAAGAGAAAAACCAAAAAAATTAAGGACTCAGCATGCAACTATCATGCAGAACTCCCAGGCAGCCAAAATCATCCAAACGGATGTAGGGATCCACTGGTTGTCGAAGAGATCGTCCAAGGGGATGAAAAGTATTTTTTGGGACATTTAGGCCATTTAAGGAAAACTCACACACACAATGCATACACAAAGACTCGAACCCAAGACCTCTTAGTGGAAGCTTAAGCTCTCAACCAACAGGCTAAGATGAGCTGTTTAAGGGGGGGATGAAAAGTAGATTGCATTTATCATCGTCCTTCAAAAACCCAGTCCCTTGTTGTCAAAAAGAGCGTCCAGGAACACCAAATTTGTCGGGGCAGACCCGGCACAGACACCAAATTTGCTCGAAAACCCAGTCCCTGGTTGCTAAACAAAAATTTTCATTCTAAATAAAAAGAAAAAGAAAAAGCACAGACACAACTCAAGTGTTAAAAAAACTCAGTTCAATCATAATTGTCCCAACATTTAGATTTCGTTTGAAAAAACTTTCATGTTGTTTTGCTTTTCAGACCGTCAGTTTTTCTACCGCAGCTTTAGGAAGCAGAGCAGTTTAAGAAGCAGTAAAAACAAACTGTCAAAGGAAGGCCGAGTCTACTGTAATGTAAACAGTGAATGATAAATGCCTACCCACAGCATTGAACTTCTACGACAATAAAATTTCATCTTCACTGCTCGTTTGCAACTGGCTTATCTTCCTCCTCCGCCACCTCCGGCGGCGGCGGAAGGTTCAGATCAACCATGAACCCTCTTTCCTCTCTCCTACCCTCTGCTTCCCCTCCCTGTCGTTCACGATGAACCCTCTGATGAACTCTCATCCCATGATAAGTGACAAACTGTCGTTCACACACTTGGCAAAAAAACGTCCTCCCATCTCCTGCTCCTCCTCCCCTCACGTCCGGCAACGCCGCCCCCGCCGCAGCCGTCGTCTCCTTGGCCTTCGCACTACACCCCATCACTCCCCTGTGACTCGCTCTATGCCCTCCCAACGCTTGTCTCGTGCCAAACACTCTCGCACATTCTCCACATGCGTATTCCCCTGCCGCCGTCGCCGCCGCCGCCGCAGATTCTTCACTCGTCCGGCGCCGCCATCTTCTCCGTCCTCTCGAACCTTCTTCTCCGACCGCCAACGGTCTAATTCCTCTCCACTCCCTCTCTGGATGACATCTCATGTGCCCGAACAGAGCCTTCAAATTTCCGAACCGCCGCCCACAAACATAGCATTCCGGCTGTGTAGCCGTAGATTTATCTTCCTCCTCAGCGGCGGCGGCGGCGGCGGCGGCATATCTCCTTCCCTCCGATGACGACGAGGAAGATGATGATTCCGATGAAGAAGAGGAGAATAGATGAATCATAGGTCGTTTTCCATGGCGACTGGGGCCAGCGGAATCAGAAGAAGGATTCATGGGGATTGATAAATTAAAATTAAAAAATAGGGGAGGAGCGAAGGAGGCAATTATTACTGTATCCGCCTTTCTCCCAATGGATGCGTCCATTCCCGTAGCCGTTCGAGCGTTTCAATTTCAGTGGCGAGACGCTCGCCCAAACGACGCTCTCGTTAAATCCTCATTGAATTCATTCGACGCAGAACCGCTCGCCCCTCTCGTTCGCTCGACTCCGCGCACATGACAACCGTCTCGTTCTCCGGCGGCCGCGCCGCGCAGCGAGACCCGCACGAAAGCAGTGACAGAGTCGAGAAAAAGTGTGAGAATCCACCTCATTTGTGTTTCTTTTGCTGCTTATTGTTGGCGATGAATAAACTGGCATTTTCTTATTCTCTTCTTCTTCAAGCTCTCGTCTTTTCCAATTTCTCCTGCGCCAAACAGCAAACTTTGTTCTCATTGTTTTCTCCTGTTACAGATTTTTTCTCCAGTTCTGCGACGCCGGCGGTAAAGGTTTTCTGTACTTATATTTATTCTTTTTTCTAACACGAGCCTGACGAGAATGGTTCAGATTGCAAGCAGTGTGAATATTGATTTGATACCTATTATGTACAAAAATATATATAGTATGTAAATTCATATATTCAGATGGTTCTTTTCATTCGGACACCGCATAGAATAATTTCTCTAAACATAAAAATAGTTAGGTGAGGGCGTCGAACAGAGGCCTATCAAGAGCCGTCATGTCACGCAATGAGCTTTATATTTAGTGAGGTCGCTACTCCTGATTGTCCTTCGGACACATCCAACATCCTCACGTAATAATTTTTTCAAACATAGATGAAGAAAATGTATTTCTTTCTTGAGATCTATATGATATCACCTGTTATATAACTTTGTTGTTTACATTCTCCTATTTTCATCAGTTAAGTAAAAAAATTTAGCTTCTGATTTAAATCGCAACTTCTCAAAATTAGTGAATTCAATATTGTGCTGTGCTAAGTTTGCTTATATGATGGATCAATTCATGCTTTATTTGAGAAAGAGTTTTTACTACTTAAAACAATTTTTTTATTAAAATTTTTTATTTTTTATTAAAAAGCTCCTTTAAAAAACAGTAAGATCAAAATAGTCCTAAAAAAAGAGCAACTTTCTAATATAAAAATTTAAATTTTGTATTAAAAAATTGCTTTAAAAAATTTTGATCCAATAGAAAGGACACAAAAGAGAATAAACTACAGTTCGGCATTACTAGCTCTCAATATTATTTTTTTCTATAATAAAAACACGGTGAAATGTAGCATGGGACAACTTTCTTACTAATTCTTAAAATATTTTTTCAGTACAAAAATATTGTGGAGTAAAATTTTTTTATACTTAAAAACTATTTTAGTAAGTAATTAAAAGCTATCCCAAATGAAGACATAGATGGGATTGAGGAGCACTTAAAATTTTGCAATTAATTTTTCTATATTAACAATTCTATGAATAGTGCACATTCATGAGATGGGACAGAACAACTGTTCACTTTAAAAGTTTCATTATTCGATATCAACAGCAAAATAACCATATTGTTAATCCTATTAATCCTAAGAGTTTCACTATATTGCTATTAGTATATAGAATAACTTTTTTTTTGGAAAATTTAGGGTAAAGCTCTTGTAGTGATGAAGAAAATTACAAGTAAAAATAAAAACCTATAAGGCACAAAAAGAGCCAAAAACAAAATACGTAGGGAGAAAGAGATCAAAAAGAGGCCTCGGGATGGGTTAACCACCCCGACATCAGAAGAACCAGAACATATTCATATCAGTTTAGTTTTCCGCAGAGGTCATCCAAGAACAAGCCAGTTGCCACAAGGGTCAAAACAGAAAGCAACCGATAACGGAAGAGTAAGCCCAAAAACCAAACATCGTCAAATGTCAGAATTAATCCCAAGGGTGAAGTACCGATTGGCCCCTAACATCATTGGCCAAGCAAAACTGAAAAAATCGAACAAAAAGAATGTGCCCAACAATAATAAAAAATTGCAGGGAACAAATCATGGAGCAGATGAGAGACCAGCAACCTGAACAAAATCATAGGGTGAAAGGCCTCAATTGAGCACAACGAAACATTCTTGAGCATGAGAAAGCATTTCCATCTATTAGCTTTGTGAAAAATAGCATTCTTAATGAGAATCCTCAGCTGGAAGGAGATGTTCCAATTACCAGTGAAACAACGAGAGTTTCATTCCTTCCAAAGATGATAAGACAAAGCAGGCCACGCCAAGAAAGCAAAAATATTTATCATTAGAGCTAAATTGTTGTAGGCAATCCACTAATTCATAAACTGATGCAAATTAGGCCTTAGAAGGAACCCCTCTAAACAAGGCAAAATGGAGGTGATAACTAAGAATGAGAAATCACATTCAAAGAATAAATGCTTGTGTGTTTCCTGGGCATTCAGATAGAAGGGGCAAAGAGGATTAACTAGAATTGATCTTTTAATAAGCAAGTCTGCACATTTTAACTTATCAATGATAGCCATCCATGCGTAACAAGAATATCTAAGGGCATGATGCTTGTGCCAGATAAATTTATGTCAACTAACCTCCTGTACATTGCTAAAAAACTTAGCCATGAAGATCTTAAAAGAAGGATTGTGTGAGCAGTCCCAGGACAAAGTCGGTTTCTCACCAATGGGAATTTCACGAACAACAGAACAAAGAGGATCAGGGAAAGAAGTAGGAAGCACCCACTAATTGTTAACAATATAATATTTGACATAAGGGGACTCAAAACTTACCCAGGAATTGAAATCAACTAAAGCATACTATTACACCAATAGAGATGGAGCCTTTGATATTCTGGGCAATGTGGAAGGTAAATTTCTAGATTTTAGAAGCATAGGGAGGAGGTTGCTTCCAAATCGATGTGTACTTAGATATAAACCAAGTGCAAACAGTAGAGTTATTATTGTAAAGTCGCCAAATGAAGGATCAAGATGTGGCGTGATAAAGAGCATCAATCAAGGAAACCCAATGCCACCCAAGCACTTTAGAAGGGTGGTAGCATTCTAGACAATAACATGGAGCTTCCTCTCAGCAATGCAGCCTTGGAATAAGAACCTGGAATAAAGCTTGGAGATGATTTTATGGAAAGCCTTAGGAATGATGGAGCCCCTGATCCAATAGGCAATAATATCAGCAATGATGAATTTGATGAATTGGACCCTACCTGCAAAAGGATGAAATTTGACTTTCCAACCATCAAGTAGAGTAAATATTTTACTTAGCAGTGGTTGGAAGTGAGTAAAGTTCAATCTATAGGGGGAAATGGGGAGCCCTAAGTATTTGAGGAAAGTGTCCGCTTTAGATATCCCAGAATGTCACAAAAAATCTTAGAGAAAAAGGCATTTTTGGATAACAAAATAGAGCTCTTAGTGGGGTTAATGTGAAGCCTAGAGGCCCTAGCAAATATGAAAAGAACATTATTTAAGGCCACAACAGACGAAGGTGAGGCAACACCAAAAACAAGCAAATCATCTACATACAACAAATGATTAAGATTAACCCCATATCTATTAATGTCCGTAAGAGGAGTGGAGTTAGGGAGCAAGCATCACGATAACCATCCATTACAATAAATAATAGGAGGGGAGACAACGGGCAACCTTGTCGATATATGGAATAACAAATGAATACTTATTTTTTCTTTTATTGTTATATAATTTTGCTAGTTCTTACATTTATTTTTAATTTATTTCATTTCCTCTAAAGTGAACGTTGATGAGAGTCGTCGCTCATTTTATTTTATTTTATTTTTTAGAATCATTGATATCTATTGATATTATTGATAATTTTTTGTAGATATATTTGATATGAAAGGGCAAATAAAAAAAGAATATAAAAGACAACGATATGCTAAAAAATCTAATGGAGAAATTTCATATTACATGAATAAGGCTTCATTTGGGACGGTTTTCCTATTGCTTTTTAAAGCAATTTTTTAGTAAAAAAAAATTATACTGATTTTTTTATACTAAAAAGCTGTTTTAGAAAGTAGTAAGAAAGTCATACAAAATGAAGCTTAAATCTTCTTAATTTATTGCAAACACTTTGAGATTTAAGTGAAATTAAGTATTAAAATTTTGTTGTTCAATATGTGTATTTTCTATTTCATTTAATTAACACTTATTCTTTGTACATAAAAGCTTAGATTTATAATATTTTTCGATGGATCATTCATAAATAAATGCTCATTATTCATAAATAAGTGTTACTTTATAAAGAAAAAAAAACTATTGTGCATCATAAATCAATTCAGTATATTCTAACACTTTACTCTTTCTGTATAAAAAAAAAAGAAATAATAATAATAAAAAGACTAATTTTATGTGTTGGAGAAATTTTGCATGGTTGAGGACCTGAGGTCAATACCATATTTATTTATAAGCCCAAGTTCTGCCCTTTCAATTGTTCCACGTGAGTTGTACTGATCTATTCAAAGAGCCTTAAAAATATGCTTCGTCTTATTTTTATGAAGATCATTTCATTGTGCCATTGTTATAATCTATATTGATTGAGCACGAATCTCGAGGCAAAATCGAGCCGGAAACTTCAAGAATTAAATTCGGGAGCCTCTGAACTTTGATTTCAGCAAACTTATAGTCAAACTGAGCGTCTCGGTAATACGAACCCAACGACACCAAATTCAACTCAATCCGAGCTCAAATGAGTCCAAATCAAGGACCCGAAGTACTGTTAGAAAGTTCGTACCACAATTTGAGTTGCCAAATGGTCTCCGAACTTAACGAGCATATAGTCGAATTGAGCGCCTCGACGAGACGAATCCAACGAACCCAAGATCGCCGAATTCCGACATCATTAAGACCTTCGAATGTCTAATGAACAGTGCACGATCAAGGGATTCAGTATCAGCCGTCCATTCGACCACTCCCTATTTGCCCCTGATCTCACACCTATTTACAAGCTATGCCACTCTATGAAATCTATAAATAGACCCCTCATTTCTCATGAGAGGGGAACCAAGCAAGAATAAGAGAAGAGAGAAGAGAACGATAGGAGGGAATAACTCCTCCGAGTGACGCTGGAATTCTTCCCAAGTGACGCC